GAGATTTGGAAATCAACTCCATTATAGGTGTGGTATATATGGGCGATGGTGCAGTGAGTAGCATGTTTGCCTTGCACCATGAAAGATCAGGGATCAACTCCATTGTAGGTAGTTATGGTATATATTGGCGATGGTGCAGTGAGTAGCATGTTCGTCTTGCACATGGAAGTTCGGGGATCAACACCCTTGCAAATGTGCTATTTATGGACGATTGTGCAGAGAGTAGCATGTTTGCCTTGCACCATGAAATATCAGGAATCAACTCCATTGTAGGTATGGTGTGGTATATATTTGCAATGGTACAGTGAGTAGCATGTTCGCCTCGCGCCAGAGAGATGTGGGAATCAACTCCATTTTAGGTGTGGTATATATGGGCGATGGTGCAGTGAATACCATGTTCGTCTTGCACCATGGAAGTTCGGGGATCAACACCATTGTAGGTGTTGTATAAATGGGCGACGGTGCAGTGAATAGCATGTTCGTCTTGCACCATGGAAGTTCGGGGATCAACACGGTGCAGTGAGTAGCATGTTAGTCTCGCACCAGGGAGGTTTGGGGATCAATTCCATTGTTGCTGTGGTATATATGGCGATGGTGCAGTAGTAACATATTTGCCTCGCACCAAGGAGGTTTGAGAAACAATTCCATTGTAGGTGTGGTATATATGGGCGATGGTGCAGTGAGTCGCGTGTTCGCCTCGCACCAGGGAGGTTCAGGATCAATTCCATTGTAGCTGTGGTATATATGGCGATGGTGCAGTAGTAACATATTTGCCTCGCACCAAGGAGGTTTGAGGATCAATTCCATTGTAGGTGTGGTATATATGGGCGATGGTGCAGTGAGTTGCATGTTCGCCTCGCACCAGGGAGGTTCAGGATCAATTCCATTGTAGCTGTGGTATATATGCCGATGGTGCAGTCAGTAATGTATTCACACTGCACCAGGAAGGTTCGGGGATCAACTGCATTGCTGGTGTGTTATATATGGACGACAGTGCAGTGATTAGCATTTTTGCCTTGCCGCAGGAAGGCTCGAGGATAAACTTCATTGTAGATGTGGTATATATGGGCGATGGTGCAGCGAGTAGTGTGTTCGCCTCGCACCAGATTTGGAAATCAACTCCATTATAGGTGTGGTATATATGGGCGATGGTGCAGTGAGTAGCGTGTTCGCCTCGCACCAGGGAGGTTCAGGATCAACTCCATTGTAGCTGTGGTATATATGCCGATGGTGCAGTGAGTAATGTATTCACACTGCACCAGGGAGGTTCGGGGTTCAACTCTATTGCTGGTGTGTTATATATGGGCGACAGTGCAGTGATTAGCATTTTTGGCTTGCCACAGGGAGATTCAAGGATGAACTTCATTGTAGGTGTGGTATATATGGACGATGTTACAGTAGGTAGCGTATCCAAATACTGCCCTGTTAGTGTATTAAACTTGCTTATCCTCTAGATATTTTTTCCACATTAGATACATTCGAACGTGTCAAAAAGCTAACACCTGTTATATTAATCAGCGCAACAATAAAGTGGAGTAGTTTATGTTTTTATACATGTTTATGTCTCATTTACAGGAAAGCGTACAAGATGCTACTGAAGTAAGCAAAGTAAGTAAAATAAATATGCTACACATATTCATCCTACTATAGGTGTGGTATATATGGGCAATGGTGCAGTGAGTAGTGTCTTCGCCTCGTCCCACGGAGGTTCAGGGATCAATTCCATTGTGTGTTTGGTATACATGGGGGATGGTACAGTGAGTAGGCGGTCCGCCTCACACCCCAGAGTTTCAGGGATCAATTCCATTGTAGATGTGGTATATATGGGCGACGGTGCAGCGAATAGCGTCTTTAGCTCTCCTCACGGAGGTTCGGGATCAATACCATTGTAGCTGTGGTATATATGGGTGATGGTGCAGTGAGTAGCATGTTCGTCTTGCACCAGAGAGGATTGGGAATCAACTCCATTGTAGGTGTGGTAGATATGGATGACAGTGCAGTGAATAGCATGTTCGCCACGCACCGAGGAAGTTCGGGGACAACAGCATTGTAGGTGTAATCCATCTAAGAGAAGGGCAACTCTAATCTCAAACCAAACATGCTTCTGCGATGTATACTGATTGCAAAAATGCATATTCTGGTGAAAATGGTAAACAAAACATGTAATTTTACTTCCTGAAAACCTCTACTAAGTCCTGAAGTGCGATTTAATGAATTTATACGACAGTGTAAACTATACGTTGATGAATACCGCTGGTTGGGTTGGGTTGCGTTGGTGTTGGACAGTGTATTGCATTACATTCCTTCAATTAATTGGTGAATGTCGCAAGCATGTGTTTTAACATTGTTTCAATAAGTAATGGAATCGCACCGGTAAATTGCCTGTGGTAGTGTATGAAAATATTTTAAAAAGACACTGTCCTCGTTCATCTGAACTATTGAACTATTAAACCATTTAACATTTTTACAATAAATTTTTTGCAGGGTTGGAGCACCACACAAATTGTCATTGGCTCTGCTGTTGCTGTTGTTGCGGTTGTTTGCATTGGTACTGGTTGCTATTATGCAGCACCTAAAATACTTTCCTGGATCAAGCTGGGAAGTGCTGGAAAATGTGCTCTAGTTGGAAAAGGTGCAGTTGCTGGAAAAGGTGCCGTAGCTGGAAAAGCTGCTGTGGCTGGAAAAGCTGCTGTGGCTGGAAAAGCTGCCGTTGCTGGAAAAGCTGCTGTGGCTGGAAAAGCTGCTGTGGCTGGAAAAGCTGCCGTTGCTGGAAAAGCTGCCGTGGCAGGAAAGGCTGCTGTGGCAGGAAAGGCTGCTGTGGCTGGAAAAGCTGCTGTGGCTGGAAAAGCTGCTGTTGCTGGAAAAGCTGCTGTGGCTGGAAAGGCTGCTGTGGCAGGAAAGGCTGCTGTGGCTGGAAAGGCTGCTGTGGCTGGAAAAGCTGCCGTTGCTGGAAAAGCTGCTTTGGCAGGAAAGGCTGCTGTGGCTGGAAAGGCTGCTGTGGCAGGAAAGGCTGCTGTGGCTGGAAAAGCTGCCGTTGCTGGAAAAGCTGCTTTGGCAGGAAAGGCTGCTGTGGCTGGAAAGGCTGCTGTGGCAGGAAAGGCTGCTGTGGCAGGAAAGGCTGTTGTGGCAGGAAAGGCTGCTGTGGCAGGAAAGGCTGCTGTGGCAGGAAAGACTGTTGTGGCAGGAAAGGCTGCTGTGGCAGGAAAGGCTGCTGTGGCAGGAAAGGCTGCTGTGGCTGGAAAAGCTGCCGTTGCTGGAAAAGCTGCTGTGGCAGGAAAGGCTGCTGTGGCAGGAAAGACTGTTGTGGCAGGAAAGGCTGCTGTGGCAGGAAAGACTGTTGTTGCAGGAAAGACTGTTGTGGCAGGAAAGACTGTTGTGGCAGGAAAGACTGTTGTGGCAGGAAAGGCTGTTGTGGCAGGAAAGACTGTTGTGGCTGGAAAAAGTGCTGTTGGAACAGCTGCTGTGACTGATAAAGTTGCTATGGCTGGAAAAGCTGTTAGAATTGCAGCTGTAGCAGGAAGTATTGCTGCTTGTATTACTCAAGAAAAGATTGCAAAAGTCTATAAAAGCACATATGGATGAAGGAATGAATGAATATATCAACAAAAATGTCTCGCCATGGCGTTCTGTTATCATTACATATGTTTCAAAACTACATGTATATTGTTTTACATGGTGTGCGTTTTAATATGGTGCATGTTTTTTTAAAAAATAACATGACTATGCTTTTTAATGGTGTGTTTTAATGTTTTTATAATAGTTTGAAAAGTTTATTTTAAAAAGAAGTGATTGTTTTTATTCTGTGTTCAAACCTAATGTATGTATTCAAAAATGTTGTGTGTGTTTTATATTGGTGTGTGTTTTAAACAATTGTGTATGTATTCAAAATGATGTGTATTTTATTAAATGGTGTTAGTGTTTTGTAAATTGTGTGTCTGAGGCTCTCCGACAGCGAGCTAGACACATTGTAAACTATAACACGTGTGTGTAGCTATACAATCATCTGTTTAGGCAATAATAATACTATATCATAAATCTTCAGCAAAACCTTCTCAGATCGACGTAGAACCAATATTAAGTTTGTCGCAATTATTACAAGTAACACTGTAATCTGTTACAGATTTGACTATCACAGTTCAACACGTAAGCAAGTTTCACATCAGATGTTTATCCCCACTGTTCTGTAAAATGTTCATTCACATTCATCTTATGAATTTAATTTATTGTATAATGGGAACATTATTTTTTGCAGAAAAGTTAGTTACCGTAAAATCTGTATTAGAAACCGCATTCCTAATAAAAGTCGCACCCATTCTTTTTGAACAATTGAGAACCAAACATTCACAATTTCTCATATGTGTAGATGCTCTAATGGAAGCCACATCCCCTCTGTTGCATTGTACCATTAATACAGGTTGCTAATACAGATTTTACAGTACTGTTAGTTGGAGTGTTATTGTTAGTGTAAAAACAACTTACGAGAATTAGATTGTAGACATTACTGGACAAAAATTAAAATTAAAAAAGAGAAAATTGCTGCAATATGCATCTACTAGTATAAGAACATGTTTAGACACAAATTTACAGCAGGGTATCAACCTGGAATTTGTATGTGCCTGTCGAATTTTTAGCTTTTCTGCTTGTGTGGCATTCCCTTAGTAATGTGAATAAAAACCTGGCAAACTCAGTAGTTGCCGTTGAGGCTGTCGCAGTACTGTTTCTTTTTATTGATTATTGAAGAGTGATGACAACAATTTTGCTACATTGTCTTTTATATTATCCAGTTGAGGTGTTCCATGGATAAATATCTCACGTCTATAATAAATTGACAATGACTTGTTCATTTTTGTTTTGGCATAAATGGTCCAACTAATAGAAGGGTTTCACTGCCCGACCCTAAAATGTTTTTTTTGGCAATATTTGAAAACACATTACAAAATTGTGCCAGAATTTGAATAAGACTTTATTCAAAATTTAAAAAAAAAAATCTTTTCTCATGCTATTTTTGAAATGAAGGAACCACATTTTTTTACTTGGCTTGTTATGTTTTTTGTCAAGATATACAAATAATGGGGTGTCAGAAAAAATCACAAATAATAATTAAGAGGAATATATCATTGCAAGGAAGACTTTAAATTCCGTCACATTTGTGCTGTACAAATATATCCTTTTGCTTTCCATCAAAGAAGCAGTTATGGAATGATTATTGAATGATTAAAGCACGGTGGTCGTCGCGCAAGCGCGTGTTCTAATTTCATGTAAATAAACACTGTATTTTATACGCGTTGTGTCTCCCTTCAACCAGTGTGAGTTGTGTCAAGCTATACACAGTTCCGGGACACAGTTCATATCAAGAATTTGATATGCATACTGTTATAAAAATATTATGGCTACTCCCTGCAAAATGTTAGCCATAACCTCATTATATAAGCATTTTTGCAATCATCCAACCTTAATGGTAACCTCGCCTGACATGATCACCGATAGTTATTGCGCCCTCGCCGACGGATTCACTTGGACACAAATTAGTAGAGATCATTGGAGAGGGCGCAATAGCTATCGGTGATCATGTCAGGCTAAATAGAGTAGGGATACTTAACTATCAGATAATTGTATGATTTAATTGGAGTGGGTTTAAACTTATAAATATAACTGCCGTAGATACAATCTTGTAAACTTTTGTCAGGTTGATTTTATATTGAGATTAGAATATAACCGTTGTGATCGAGCTTTTACAGACAATCGGACACGTGTGCATTTGGTGAATTAAAAATCCATGTAATGATTTATTTATTGACAGTTGAGTGTAACAATGTTGTGAGTTATGCCATGACATTGTGCTTGGCTCCATTCAGATTACGTCCAGACATAAACTCTGTTGCACCACTGTAACAGTGTATAATTAACAGATACCGTTGAGGGCAGTATAACTAACATGAACGCCAACTATATACACAATGGACATGCTGTGAATAGAGTCTCGTTGAACTTATAATAAACGCCATATGAACCGAATGAAGTGTAACAATATAATCATTTATATATAGAGGGTGATCTGTTGAAGTCGCCTGTAGGCTGGAAATAGCACAATTTGTTATGAAGTCAGTGACTTGAGTCAGTAGTCGTATATTAAAGGACGGTGATCGTCACACCAAATCCTGTTAGATATGGGACTCAAATTGACGTACACAACAAGTTCAAAATACAGTTTATTTACATGAAATCCAAACACGCACTGCATGAAGTTCATGTAAACAAACAATATATTTTACATAAAATAGTTGCTCTGAATATAAATACCTCTTGCGAATATTAGTGCATATGTTTCTGACTATGGTACATTCCATAATCATGTCAAATATGTACCAATGGTAGTTACTAATTCATGCATATCCAAAAAAAGCAACGGGGAATGAAATGATTGTATAGGTACCCACTCCTCCATCCAAACATCCTTACATCTGCCCTGCACACAATTTGTCAATACATGTCCAAGAAATTAGTTATTTTCAAAGCACAATTGTCGGAAGCCACTACTGGTAATTTCATAGACTATTGTCCAAAACAAGGAACAGAGTTATTAAATCATAAAACAAGAAAATCAATAAATCATAACAAAATATGTAATGGATGATTTTTGGTTAATTGACAACAATAACAACTGAACTGTAAAAAATATCCCTGGCTGTAGTGGAAACTGAACATTACAATGAGCATAAACAACCATGGCAGCCTTTTGTGTTGCCTCAATCAATAAGGAGCTACCCAGAATGCAGTACTTCACTTCATCGACAGATAGGCTGCAGTCTGTGAATAAGGTACATGTAGGCCAAAAAGTTACAAGTCATGATGAAAAGCAAGTTGAATTTTTTTACATTGAGTTTCTTGGTTTTTGTAGAGCCTGCAATGATTTGTTTTTTTATTTCATTCATGTCTTTATCTAGTACTGTCATCAAAATTTTTATTTTCAACATTGGAATCGGCATTTCTTCAAACGATTTTGGTTTTTAAATCAGACATTGGTTGTGGTGTGATCAGTAATGTACTGTATAGACTGCTTGAATTTGTGATGTTTTACATGGTTCTCATAAACCTGCTTATTTTTACCAGTGCATTACGTAAATAGACTACAACTTACAGAAAGTATGATGCATGCCCAAATAAACTTAGCTGCCTTCTGACTTCTGCTTAAGTTATGGCTTCAAAAAACAGCGAACATAGAACAATAGCTGTGAAAATCACAAGTAAATGTACGAAAATCAATCATAGAGATAACGATTTTGAGCGTGGTGGTGTCAGACAAGCATAGCTATCTCCCATTGCAGTATTGCGTATTCACCACACTGTTTGTATCCTGGGTGGAACACTGCTATACCCGCACTGCAGATATATGCTAATTGTTCAATTACAAACGCATCTCTTATAGAAGTGCACATAATTGCATTATTTTAAATGCTAAATTATTGAAATACGACTTATTTTAACCTTAGACACACCTCTATCATATATGTGAGTGTGTGCAGTGCTAATAGAGCAAATACAGTAGCACTGATTTTATTGAAAATGAGCTTTTAATAGAAGAAATATGGTAGCCACAGTGATTACAGGTTTCTGTTCATGTTAAAAAAAAAGCTCATTTGAATCAAACTTTCCTGAATCTGTGGTTAAATTTTAAGGTTTCAATGACAGTAGTCAATTCACAGTAGCAATAATGTGTGTTTTTTTCTGCAAGATTTAATCTTAATCCCATTTGGATTTTTTATACTTCGTCACTGTTGTTCCATCAACATTATAAGCTTCATACATTTTCCTGTTTTCAGCCGTAGCATTCATATAGGCAATATAGGAGACACAACAGGTAATGGCCACCACACCAAATATCATCACAACCTTATTCTGAAACAGAAAAAAAAAAATATCGGTAAACTCCATTTTATGCATAGTACATGTCAGTATAACACAAGACCAATAATACAAAGGACAAATCTTCAATAAGACCAAGAAATTGTATTTTGTGACATGGTTTGCAATTATGTATAAAACAAGCTCACGAACGTGATAAGTTAGGTGACAATAATTTCTATTTTTGTTTAACCAATCATGAGTCAGGTCATGGAGGCAAGGCTGTAAATTTTTGCATATGAACACTAAAATTTGTGTGACATTTAGCTGCTGTCCACTTCGTTATTTTTTTAATTTGTACTGTTATTGTTCAACTTTTCACATTGAGATGGAGAGTAGATGTGTTTGATTGTGCACTTACATCAGGTCATGTGATATGCAAATTGTAAGCTCATGAATATTAATATAAATTTATTAAACTACATAAAGAACACATTTTTTTATCACACCTTCTTTTTTTTGCAAACACAGCACTATTTATTATTTTATTCATTTTTATGTAATTTCCATTTTTTCCATTCTTTGTTAGCTTATGCTAACTGAAATATAATGTAGCTATAACTCATTAACCACAATAAGTTGAGTCATACCAATAATGTTACAATTCCTTCTCGTTGAAAGGCAAATAACAGGGATTACCTAAATGGAGGCAGACTGTTTGTATGCCCCACATATGCTGCTTACATACGATATCATTTCTGAACATCAGTATTAAAGCTGTCCCTGCGTAACGCAGTGTGGAATCGTGCAGCCCTATCATATCATATACATGTACCGGTAGTCCAGGGCGGTAGTCTGAAAGTTGCGATACTAAAACAAAAACATTTGAACGAATAATCGACTGAGGGCGCTGTTCGAAATGGTCAAAATTCGCAACTAGTTTTGCCTTTCCTTCATTATTTGTCAACTTTATGATAGACGAATGACACAAAGTACGATAGTAAACTGTGTCGAAACAAATAAGGACACTTACTGGTTTCACAAAGAGCTCAAAATTCACAGCCTTGAAAAGGGAAGTTGTTCTGACTCCCCTGATGCCATCGCCCGGAGCCGGTGTTCGCTGGGATGTTTTGTTTGCCGATCCTTTCGTGTTGATGTCCTTTTTGGACATGTTGTTAACCGTGATCGATATTCAAAGTGCTATACCTAACGTTGAGGTACACATCCACATATCCAAACAGGTGATCATATACCTTGTGATTGTATCAAGTGGTCGTCGTGGTCACGCTGACTGTACGTATATCCACACAAGATGGCGGTTTTCAAAATAAGCATGCTATGAACTGTGGGATACATACACGATATGAGATGCACCCGGGCGCATCTGATTACATCTAATTAGTAGCTGGACGTTTCGGCCTGCTTCCTTTCGAGCCGGTAAATAAAACAAGTTATGGCCGTGGTATAAATGATATCAAACTGAAAGGTACTTCTGATAGCATTCAAAGTAGTGTTGATATCTAGTATACATAGCCCGATCTAGACTGGCGCAGTCGGCGCGATTAATTTATTTTTATAGTTCAAATAAAATACAAAAATTCGCGAAATGGAGGTGTTAGCGCGAAATCCCCTGTAACTGTGAAATCACCCCGACTGGTTTATTCTGCATCGATTTTTCAACGGGTAATTATGTTAATGATGTTCTAATTGACAATCATCTAAGCCAATCACACCGTCTCTTCAACTGATCTCTGACCGAGAAGACGTCGTGCGAGTTAAAAGTATATATGTAACCTTACCCTACGTCTCCGGCCGACGAGTCCGTGCAACTTAGTATCGCTATACAACGCATGCGCAGTTTTTTCCCCTAGATGAGTACACCGCAAATCAACCACTATTATAACTCCTTACTGTAATCCGGGATACTACTAATAGTACGACAGTCCATACAACACCGCTTCCTTACAGTTTTTAATAAAAAAAAAACATTTATTTTCAGATTCCAGATTTATTTTCAAAAATCGTATTTTTTTATTTATTTCATGTTTGGAATTTTAATTTTATGAGTAAAGTTTTTATTTTATTAGTGAAGTCGCATTTCATGTGCAATAATTCGAACTAGATTCGACGGGGGAGGGCTCATTCAAAATGACAGGTTTATTTTGTGTGTGAGTGTTGACACATCGGACAATGAACATAATAATTTGCAAGAGACTCGTGGTTCGCTGAAAAAATCAAATTTGATTAGACAATATCCCGATTTGCCACCTTCCGATTGCTGGATATGGAAAGCCACAGCAATTGTACGTCGTAAAATAGTATGTCATGTAGTGCATTTACCATATTATAACGTAACTAGAGTGCAAAGTGCGAAAAAAGAATGGAAAGTTGTGGAATAGTGGTGTAAAGTGCGAAAGCAGGGTGCAAAGTCGTATAATATTGGTGCAAAGTGTGAGATTAGAGTGCAAGGTAGTGGAATAGAGTTGTAAAGTACAACGTATTGTAATAGTGATGCAAAGTGTTAAACTAGAGAGCAATGTAGTGGAATAGTGGTGGAAAGTGCGTAAGTAGAGTGCAAAGTAGTGGAATAGTGCAATCTGATTAAAATCTGATGTAGTGTACGGGCTTTAATTATTTTGGCTATAAACTAATTTCAATTTTATTTTTTATTACTTTTGTTATTAATGACTTTTTATTTTATTATTTTACTTTGATTTTGTGATTTTGATTCTCTACTACCTTGCAGCCTAATCTCACACTTTGCACCAGTACTCTACCACTTTGCACCACTATTCCACAACTTTTCTCTCTATTTTTACACTTTGCACTCTTGTTATGCACTTTGCACCACTATTCCACAACTTTTCTCTCTATTTTTACACTTTGCACTCTTGTTACGCACTTTGCACCACTAACCCACTACTTTGCATTCTAGTTTTGCACTTTGCACCATTAGTCCACTACTTTTCACTTTAATGCACATTTTGCACCACTATTCCACTACCTTGCACTTTAATTTCACCCTTTGCCCCAATATTCTACCACTTTGCACTCTAGTTACACACTTTGCACCACTGTTCCACTACCTTGCTTTCTTGTTTCGTACTTTGCACCAGTACTTCTCTACTTTGCAATCTAGTTTCACTCTTTGTACCACTAATCCACAACTTTGCACTCTATTTGCATATACTCGGTTGATTTACTAGCGTCACTAAAACTGAAAGATGCACATTTGTGTATATATATATATATAACAGTGTATGAAATTGTCCATAAATTATTGCCTCATCATCATACTACATCAGAACGAGTGTCCTACTAGAAAGTTATTAGTACTGTTTTTTTTTTGTTTTTTTTTTTTTGCTCATGTTATACACTCATTATAAAATAAAATTAAGAATACATGTGTCAATGATGAACTTGAAGATTTGCTCATTTAATAGATGATTTTCTTTGTGAGACCATAGACAGCTCGGCATATTTATCACGTACCAAATGCTATTATACCTTATTATGTTTTGGTACAAATTCATGCATGATAATTACGTTAATTTACATAATAATCAGTTTTAATACTTCCATCAAATCCTTCTGCATCTGTTTTCTCAATTGCATTGATTGATATCTGATAATTAATTTGTGGATGATCATTTCTAATTTGAATACTAATTTAACTGTGTTCAGCTTTTTAATTGGCATTATTTGCATGTGTTCGTCTATACATTCCAGCTTGTGTCTTGGTCATGCGTTGGCAAATCACATTCGAGCTTCAAACTTAGAACATACATTTTGAGAAACATATGTACATACCATTGTTTTGTTTAACTATTTGATTTAAGGTGGTCAAATGGCGACAATTTTCATGCTTAAAATTGCAATTCTTGAACTCGGTTGTGTATGTATGGATTTTTTTTTTCAACTTGTAGTATATGTTGAACATAATACTAGTAATAACTTTGTTACGAAAGAGGTGTAAACCGTAGAGGGACTCCGGCGAGTGTGCAGATATCCCTCACACGTAGAGGTACTAGGTTCGACCCAACTTGAAAGTAATACACATTAGTTCATTACAGACAGTCCAGCTTTATTCATCAAATCAGTCAGCTGAGTTAACGCCTCGTGATTAACAGGTCTGTGTCTCACGGTTAAAGCATTGTGAAATTGACACTACTGAATACAATTTGTAAACATACTATTTATAAAATTTCTGTAATATATGTTTATAATGTGTACTTTAAACATGCAAGTTGTTGATCCTAAATAATACTGCAACGTCGTGTAAACCCAATGTGAGTACATGATGGCATTATGGTAACACTTCGATGCACATCTTCTTCAGATCGGATTTACTGGCGGCAATATTAATAAATGATGTCCCAAGTGATATCTTGACATTTCTGTCATTCGATTGTGGGAAACAGTTCTTGGTCTTGATGAATTGGTAGATTTCGTTCAAACATTGCACATACATGTATCGTGAAACCTGGATATGATATAAGTAATTATGTTTGTTTTCAGATCGGATTCAAAATTGCCAACTAAATTACGTTGTTTCAATCACAGTCAGCTGGCGCACGCGTGATAATAAAATATATACGATATTTACTATACGGAGGCCGCCATCTTGAATGCAGCGTAAAACTAAATAAGAGACAAGTTGTGAAACGCGTTTTTCAGATTCCTATAAATCAGGACAAAAATACCAATCTTTCACAGAAATACGATCCACTGGGGTAATATTAAGCCAACCGATAACAAAATTCGGTCGAATTCGTCGTTATTGTGTGAAAAAAACCCTTGAATACGAACACCTAATAACACGAAGAACATAGAACACTTTCCTGGGGTATTTGAAACCAAAAATCGTCATTCTAGCTGAGCAGCCAATCAGTGACGGCCTTACAATCAGCTGACTATGGTTTCAATGAATACTGTAATCAGAGCCATGTCTTTAACATGCTTTGACGTTCTATACATGTATACATTCTGTCATTCTTGACCTTGATAATAAACATACATGAATAGATATTGTTCAAACTTGGTACATGCGTGTAAGGCCATGGCATCATGACGTTTTTTACACCGGATCACAAAATGTTGAATATTGTCAGACAATTTGTATTAACAACTGAAGTTGTGGACCTATTGACATGTCTTGACTGATTACAATCACATTTTACTATTGTATTGTTCATGTTACACATTTGTTACGTTTGTTTAAATTTTACTTTAGTTGTTTGTTGGTAATGAAGTATTAGTTTAGTTCCAGTTGAAATAATTGTTATATTGCAGATCAACATATATCTATTTATATATTTATAATTTTTATTTATTTATATTTATATATTTATATATTTATTTATATTTTTTTTTTCATATATTTTTTTCGCTGAAGGAATGATTCAGTTAAAATAAAATCCAGCGAATATACCCTTTTCCTATATTTTACATTCAACTTGTCAAAAATCTGTGAAAATAAATTCCATACAAAACACCCAGAAAGTGTTTTTAGCGAAAATTAATTCCAGCTAAAATGAAGTATTTTACAGTAAGCATGCAAAAATATAATCTTCATTAAAAGAAAACTGGAGATCGACGCTACAAAATTCACCAAAGAACACAACATATATACCTTTGTACAAGAACTGGCGTAGTATTTGACCTTTGTTCAAAACGAAAAACAAATAAGCTAGATTGCACAGCGAATCAGTTTTATATGTACTTGTGCAAAATAAGATGGATATATTTATTTATCTGTCCATCAAATCTATAATTCTACATAAAGCTGACAACATAACAAAAAGCGGAATTTATTTTCTAATATGTGTGGACACACTTTATACTTCCGTGGTCCGTATGAGTGTTTTGTGTTCTACCTTTTTTAATATTCAAATTCTAAAATTACATAGCACAGACAATAATGTTAAACCCTCTAAATTGCTTACGCAACTACGTGATAATACTTATCTTAAATAATTCATAATAATTTAGTTTATGATATTTAATTCTGCTGACCATATCTCGAGAATATTTCAAAACGATTTGCAAATACTTTTTTTTTCCAATCCCTCGCGATAACTATACGTCCCATGCCATATAAAAACGCATGTCGCCCATCAAATCTGATTTACCATATTGGAATTTGTAGCATTAAAGACCATGTTCATTTTGACCGATATTCAAGCAACCAATATTCAATGTTGCGCTTAAACATTTGGGATTTTTATGGTGTACCTAGGCCCCATACCCTGAATAGCATTAGAAGTATATAAACTAGGTTTTAGTTTATAAACTGAGTTTTAATGTATAAAAAAGTTTTAGTGTGTATCTACAAAATTGTAAATGCACTTTTTGCATATCCTTTGCACCACGAAAACCCAAAAACCTCGCTTCCATCATGATGTACAATTGAAATTGACTTTGGAGTCAGAAATAATAAAAAGAAACATCAATTTTGCAAGTGTTGTAATGAATACAATTGTAATTTGAATTGGTTAGCTGGTATCTGTATTTAGCTAGACGTGATTACTCACATTGGATTTCTTTCTGTCAGAACGTGATTTCATTACACATTTGTTAACACGGTACTTCGTGTATAGGCACTCCCCAAAACACGTTTTTATCCTTGCTATTAGCACGCATTATAATTTCGTCTCTAACAAAACGTTAGAGACAAAAACATCTCAAAAGCCCAACAAAACTATAAATATCATAACAATACATTGACAGAAAGGTGAAGTAAGTAGTGTACTCCGTATACATTCATTTTGTTGTTATATTTGAGCATTTAGTAGTTGGCTGCCGATTGCCGATAATATTTTTTGGAAAAAAAACCAAGTACTAACAATTATTGACATTTCTCAGCCCTGCATATTTATACATATCTTTTTTATTCATCGTGTTTGTTTCGATTTTTCATTAAGTGTTGGTGACTGTGCTATTTTTCTTGTGTGGCAGTTCGCTCTCTACCGCGGGTACCAACATAGTAGCAAATACCAAAATAAAGACTCAGAGTCGTACCGCGTTCCGTTCATTATAGGACTCATACAACTAACTGTCATATCGGCGTACATAACGCGTATAAAATTAAATACATTTCAAACACGTACAACGACTACCGCTCTTTGACACATGTATGACATGAGAGTAATGACCATACTCATTCCGGAATTCAATGCTTTATGATTAAAAGAACACAATGGTCATCTTCGTCGGAGAAATGTTTTGTGTTAAAAATCGTATTTCAATATTGTATACCATTGACGGTGTAACCCATTGCTTATTTTCAATCAAATCTAGGTTGAAATAAACAGAAGTGTCAAATTAATTATTACACGTGAAAGCGCAGTTAAGTGTTATCTTGTCGTTTTTACTCGCTAAAGATATAACGCTAATGTCGTGATGAATTCAGTTAGTACACATGTCTTGTCGGGGATCTATGATTTGAACAAAACACTTGACACGGAGTTCAGCAGTGACAAATAATTTTAGTTTTTTTTTGTTTGGTTCCCTAAAAAAAGAGTATGATATTTTCTCTAATATTTCAAGAACCATAATTTATTCACCAATTAACAGTTTACATTAATGAATCACAGATTGTTTTTTGTGTACTGTGATTATAGTCTAGATCTAGTCATTTGTCAAATTTCAAGAAACCTCGCAATACCCTGAACATTCTAGCTGACTAACATTCTAACCACATGAACAACTTAAAGTTAATATCATTTAATAATAATGTATTACACCGTAATGAAATTACAAATTATTTTTTGACTGAAAGTAATAAAAGTAAAGGTAACATATAAAAAAGAACAATAAATTAACATAATATGTTAAAATACATATCATTGTATGCAACAAAGATTATACCCCCGCTACGTCAGTGGCCCGCCTTGGCCACCCATACAGTCCAGCGGTCATTGAACCACGTATATTATCAGTGGAGTAGAGATATGCCGAACAATTGTACATTTCCACCATACTGACTAACAGAGGATCGAAACCGAAGTTCGGTGTGTGTGTGTGTGTGTGTGTGTGTGAAGTCAAGTACACCGTGATTTGCCTCCATCGGGAGTGACTCTGGGTAGGATGGACGAGCCCATGGAGGACCAGGGCGGTGTGAATCAATCAAATGAACAACACCAGCAACAGTCGATCGACACTGAACGAAAGAAATTACCGTCTCTCCTGCGGCCAGTAGGTCAGTTACAATTTAAGACATTAACATTTCCACAGTGTAGTTTAATAGATTTGATCCACGGTTTCCGGATCCAATACTGTAATCGTGTCTGATTCATTTATTCCAAAATACCCTACATGGTGTCTAAATCGATCTTCTGAAATTAAACACGTAATACAGTGATGGGTCAGTACTTAGGAATGAACATGTCTCGTTTTTTAACTGGTATCGCATTTCTATTTCTACTAAACATCATGACATCATGTTTTGCAATTTATTTTGCGAATATTTGCCCATCCCATTTTTCATCAGAAATAACGTTTTTCGTTGATCAAATAACTCAGTCAGTAACTAAATAGCTATACATAAAAAAAGAATAAAAGGCTTAGAAAAGTATAGGAATAGAGTCGGGAGGTGGATGAACCATTCTTTGATTTCTTGATCTAAAAGTAAACACCAGCTGTGGATATTTCCCTGCACAGTTATATAGTATTTTTTGTTTGCATATAAATGCTCTCCATTTCTGCTCGGTATATCAACAACACTTGATAGAGGCTAGATGTTCTACTTTGTGACATACATTGTATCCACTCATCCACATTACAGAACTCTCCTCTAGAGAGTCCCTGTTTTGCTTAAAAGTTCTTATTCAAAGAAAAAACACACTCATTCGTAGTAACAATTGATTTTCATTTCAGTTCCTGACTTTGTTATTTTTTTGCATTGTGAATTATTTTGATTCTAAATGCAGATCGTTACTTTTCAGTTTGGTATTTTGTTAGTGTTCGTGCATTCATTATTTCTGAAGTTTTTGATAATTTTCTTAACTGAGTCGCACTAATTAACACAAGTTCATAACAACTTTCTGCTCAAGAGAAACAATAATTTTGATTTAATTAATGCCAGTTCTATTTACAATTGCATGTCCTGGTTATACATGCTATGTAAAGAAAGGTTCACACAAGAATGGCCCCAGGTATTGTGAAACAACTTCATTTTTACTAGTTGACTGCCATGCATTTAGCTACATACAGTGATATGAATGCTGTGCAAATAGATTTACTAAGTTGTAATTTTTTCAGTCACATGATCAATTTTCCAGTTTTGTGTAGGAGTACTATTTGGCATGCACATTAGATGTAAACTGATGTAGATGATTACCCTGTTAATCTTATTCTATAAAAATTGAAAACTGATTTATCAGCATTGTAGTCTGGTTTGCCTAACTGAGATATCCAAAGTCTGGAATTCTGCATCATTTGTAATGTGGTAAACCTAGCTATAATAATGTATGGCAACCAATTCATTCACATTTGGGAGTTGAATACCATTAAAACAAATGATCAGATTTCCCTGATGCTTACACTATGGTTTTATTTTATGCTGTTATTCATTAAACCCAGATAAAAAGTTTGCACAAAACATAGGTCTAACATTCATGAATATAGTGATTTTGGGATCATTTACCATTAGTTTCTATGGTAAAAATTTCTCATAGATTTCTTAAAACTTTTTGTTTGGTTACGTACGTTAAAAAAAAAAACTTATAAGTTAGATGCTTATAGTTATCAATAATTATAAGAGACATTCATTTTCTATGAAATAATGCTGTAACATCGCTTCATGTGGAAATGATTCCGAAAATGTCCATTTATTTGGGCATTTTTTATCTAAAAGAAATATATCATACTAAAATAACAGAAAAGCTGGTGACATGATTATGTGGCACAAAACTTGTGATAAATTTTTTGCTCCTATTTATTAGGTCAAACCGTCAAATACTACCTTAAATTAGCAAACCAATCAACGCATGTAGTCAATCCGACTGTGCAAGTTGTGATAGCTCAAAATCAACCTTAACAGTTACAGTATCAATTCATGAACATGTGTTTTTAGGTGACCATGACCCCAATTGCTTAATGCCATATAAACCTGGCCTAGATTCAGTATGGACTAAATGCCCAGTACTGAGTGTGTCATCATCATCTGGAGATACAAAGCCTTCATGTTTAGCTGCAATATATCATCATATATAACATCATCTAATTCTGAATCAGTACACATTCAAGCAACATTTAAATTCACCAGTTCATCTGATTTCCATAGATGGTATATACTCCCTGACTTGCATCTTTGTGGGTCTAACATTTATTGTGTTTATTTAAAATTGATGTATTGTTACTGTGAATTTCATAAAGGTATGAATGTTTTTTTTTGGAAATTTATAAAATATTTATACAAAATTTACCAAGAATGATCTTTGCACTTCATGCAAATCTAAAGAATACACTTTCTTAAGCTATGTATAGAAACCATTTGGTACTGTACATTACCCATGATGCTTTGCAGGGTTCTTTCAATCTTTATATAAAAATATATACATGTGTGTCGTCCAAGCCCTAGCTCATTTAACTGTTTTCTATTAGTATCCTTTCTGAACTGAGAATACCAGCCTCCATGTCTAATAAATATGGTGCACGTGACTTTAGTGTTGCGTCCCAAGAGAAGAATCTCGCATCAGGACTTGTAATTAACTAGAACTGGCAGTGACATTTTTTTCTCTTCCATTAGAACAATAATAGCAAGCCTTCCCCCTGTGAATTCTACCCATGTATTTTAGTGTTACACCAGTGAAGACCCTTGTATTAACAAGTATATAATGTATTATTTAATGTATAAATCAGTGCTTGTACAAAACTGAGCTGGTTTGCATGATGGTTCACCTGTCTCTAAATGGCTGCATGTGAAACCATAACTGTGTTCACCAGGAAATTAGGGCTGACCTGTGTTTAATCATGGGGCAGTTGCAACATGTCATATTCTTGTCTTGCCATATGTCAAAGATTGGAGATAGAGATTGTGTTGCAATGAGCTTCTCTGGGCATGTGATGAAGAAACTTTCCTGCAGTCTTGTAAATGCTGGTTCCTTAATACTATAGTTTATAAATTAATTCAGTAAATTTTTTTCCATGTTGTACATTCATTTTCAAAGTGTAGTTGCTTATCAACTCATTTAAATGAAACTCTAGGTTTCAGTCTTCTCTGATAGACCCTGTTCTGAACTGTTCCATGACTACTGAATCTCAGTCTGTTATTTTTCAATTAGGCCCCACCAAAAAAAAAGTTAAAAAATAACTTCAAAAACTAAATGGCTGCCACCCACATCTGAAGTCCTACATGACACAGGCTTACAGCAAATGTTAGCAGGATACCATTGGCACAATTTTAGTTGAAAAAAAAAATTATAATCCATAGAGCGTTCTAATAGGAATAGTAATCTTTATTAACATCAGATTAATGTAATTAGTTGCCATACACCACATGTATGAATCATAACTAAAATATGTCACCAGTGAGTTGTTTACATGGTTCAAACATTGTTTACATGCTAACAGTATTTTACACTCATGGTTAAATTGAATTCTTGATGAAGTATAATGTTATACTTTTCATGCAATTTGACGATTACAAAAATGCCCATATTAAGATTTAATATACACTGTACTGTTGTGACTCTGAAGGTGAACCCACTAGATTTATGACAGATTACTATGACAACACTCTAGATTTAGTGGTCTATAGGTATATGAAGTAGAACACAATACAGTTTTTTAATTGTCACTGCTAGAAAGTTCACATGATGCCCTATTGTTTTAGAAAATTTCAGGCTATTAAATGACAAATTTGAAAGTGGTTTTGTTGTTAATGTTGGAAACTTGCACATCACAAACTATTATTATTTTCTTCTTTCAACCTCAGTCACTTCTGCCTGAGTTGGTATTACCATATTGCATCTTGCTATGAGTGTAACCAGAAGAGAAGCTACATGTTAGATGTAGCTGTTTTGACTTAGGTACATATATGCTTGGTGAAGTGAGGTGAGGTGAGGTGAGGTGAGGTGAGGTGAGGTGAGGTGGGCCACAGACTTTTGCCAGTTATCAGATGTGCTGTTGAGACCCTTTGTTGCCGCTTCATCGTTTTTTTGACACAAATACAAGGTTGATACTATGGTTCCAAATTTCAAGTTGTGTATTTACTCTATTAAAAAAAATGCTTTTTTGTTTACACTGGATCATTAAAATATTGAAAGCAAATTAGTCATCACCTGTGCACATGTGGGAAGCGTCAATAACAACGCATGCTAAAACCGCAAAAGTTCATGGGTAGACGCTTGTTTATAAACAATGACACACTATGCATGCGCAGGTGTCATCTTCCCTATTAAACTGTTGACACACCTTATTTATGTAAATGCATGCACTACTACGGTTACATAGCAATCCGGTAATTTTATTCCAATGCCCACACATCACTGGGTTATTCATTTACTGCTGGGAAGTATGCACAAGTAATTCTACAAAGTATTAAAAGGAAAAATCTTTTCTTCAAATATCTTTACATTTTCTATGATATCTTCAATTCACAATGCAAATTTTATTTCAAACAGACAGTATATGATTATAGCAAACTTGACTTTGATCAGATACTGTAATTGTTATATTTGTTGCTTAAAAACACATTTTAAACATTATGACATGTGATGTTAGTTGACAATAACAATAATTATCATCCAGTGATACTGTAAAGTACTTTATTTTAGCTTGAATTAATTTTCGTCGAAAAGGCTTTTTGCGTGTTTTGCATGGAATTTTTTTTTTTGCTGATTTTTGACGAGTTGAATGTAAAATATAGAAAAAAAGGTATATTTGCTGGATTTTATTTTTCACTGAATCATTCCTTCAGCCAAAATAGCAAAAATTAATTTCAAGCAAAAATAAAGTATTTTACAGTAAAGCATCTTTGGGCAATTAATTGATCTATGAATTGTTTTCTCCATACAGTGATGGGTGCAATTACTAAGGAGGAATATTCCACCCAATACTGGCCTAAATTAGAAAATGCCATTATTCAGCTGTTGACACAGACACCTGGCGACTATATTCCTATATCGTATGAACAAATGTACAGGTAAATATTATGGTTTGAAGTGCTGAAAACCGTCTTACAAATTTATTTTCAGTTTTTATTTTAGTGTTCAATAATTTACAGGCATTCATGACTTCCTGTCTTAAAGGAGTATGTCCATTTGCATTAAGATTGGCACTTGACCCACATGCTATTTGGTGCTATGTGTAGCATGGGACCATTAACAACACACTTGGTCACAAGAGCTAACTTCCCTATAAAATTAAATAAAACATTTCACAGTTTTCTCTGATTTGCGAAAAAATTTACCTCAGTAAATGAAATTAAATACAGAAAGTTACCGTAGTTACAAATCATTATTACCTTTGAGTGTGTAGTAGGTGGTGTTGAAGGGGGTGTTGTTAGTAAATACAGACAACAAATAGCTAATAAAAAAAATTGAAAGCAAAAAAATATTAGTCGATGTGAATGGGCTCCCCAAAAATTTCCTTAGTGAGAGTGTAAGTGTAAACTCCTATAGTTCAGTTTGTATTTTTACCTACCTAGTTACTATTTCCGTCTTGTTGCTTCATAGCTTGTGTACATTGTTTATGTTCATTCATGTTTGTTTTTTTAAATTCATGTTTGTGATGATTCTCATTCCGATCTTCATGCATCAATAACAAATAGCTGAACTCTCAAATGCTTTGTGTGATTCAATACCCCAACTTAGTTATTCACTTTTTGAGATCAAACAAGTGAATTAAATTTGTTAATTTTTTTTTAAACATAATGCTTACTGTGCAGTTGATTATTTTTTTTTTTTTTATTTCAGTTGTGTATATAAATGTGTTTGTCAGCAGCACTCAGAACAGATGTACAATGATCTAATTAAAGTAGTAACTCAACATTTAGAAAGACTGTCAACGGAACTTCAGGCATGTTATATTCATTACTCATACTTTAATGGGGAATAGGAAACAGTTATGGGGAACAGGAAACAGTTATGGGGACCAGGAAACTGTTATTTCCTTGACAAACGCAATACACAGTGAACCTGTCTAAACCAGACGTGAGAAATTGTTTGACTTAATGTGGTGTTCAGTAATTACTTGTAGAAGTCTTTTATATATTAAAAGCAGTTTCCATCCCTCTGATTGTCTTCCTGCTCACAATTACTTTCTGTCTACTTACCTGGCACACTTATATATTGAGCGATATTGCAGTAGACGTTAAACTTATACATTCCTGTGCGTTGAGTTCTGTTCACATGAAATATTGTCGCACATTACCACAAGATAACTTGATGTTATAACTTTTCAACAAATCACATGCAATGTACGTACATGTTCCGTATATGCAAACTAGCTAATCTACATTTATTATCACCTGATTACACTCAATAGTGTCCACATTATCCATTCATCCCGTGATTGGTGCACTTCACCAAAGATTGCAAACATACACAAAAATAACATAATTTCGTTTTTATTCAAACGATGAAATGGCCCAAAAATTACATAAATTATTTTTTATAAAAACTTACCGGTAGATGAAATGGCCTTTTGACCCCACCCCCAATGTTTGTATATAACAAATGTAGAATGTGACATAGATGTGTGAGAAAGAAAGAAAGTTCATTCATATTATCGTTGTTTTGGTCTGTAGTCATTTATCAGTGTAACAAATGTTTCTGATTGAGAGATTTACTCTATTCTAACTGAGGATCGACTACATCGCCAAGCACAGTTGATGCTTTGACTGACATAATGCTTTAACAAATCTCTGTCACAGAAGCACTTTAATTGTCTTGGAATGGCACGACTTGTTGGAAAAGTGTATTTTTTTTATTTTTTGTTTTGTAAGTTGTAGCACCGTCCCTCAACACCTTTTCCTTTAAAAGATCCTTTGAATGATCAATGTTTGGAAATTGAAATTCTGTGAGATTTTGTAGATGTTCAAAATATGCACTATTGGAATAGTTACCAGTGATGTTTTCTTTTTCAGGCAAGTTCGATTGATGTCTATGTAGAACGTTTTAATTTTGCACTTACGCAGTATACACAAGCATTAGGGGGCATTGTTCCCATCTTTAACTACATGGTAAGTATTCATGTTAAGGGGCATTGTTCCCATTTTTAACTACATGGTAAGTATTCATGTTAAGGGGGATTGTTCCCATCTTTAACTACATGGTAAGTATTCATGTTAAGGGCATTGTTCCCATCTTTAACTACATGGTAAGTATTCATGTTAAGGGGCATTGTTCCCATTTTTAACTACATGGTAAGTATTCATGTTAAGGGGGATTGTTCCCATCTTTAACTACATGGTAAGTATTCATGTTAAGGGCATTGTTCCCATCTTTAACTACATAGTAAGTATTCATGTTAAGGGACATTGTTCCCATCTTTAACTACATGGTAAGTATTCATGTTAAGGGCATTGTTCCCATCTTTAACTACATGGTAAGTATTCATGGTAAGGGGCATTGTTCCCATCTTTAATTACATGGTAAGCATTCATGGTAAGGGGCATTGTTCCCATCATTAATTATGTAGTAAGTATTCATTGTAGGGGGTGTTTCCTCCCCTACATCACAGTCCCTCTATCCCCAGTCTGAAAACGGCTATTGTCTAAGTGTGAATTACCACCCAATGCTCGTACAGACCTGGGTATGGCTTTCCGCAAAGCATAGTCTTTTGATAGCAGAGCATTCTATTGAAATGATCAATTCATTGTTCCCTGCATATTCTAGCTTTTACAACTGAAATAGACCATATTATAATACTTTTTTATAAGTTTAGAAGCTCAACACAATTTTTTAATCGGCATATAGTGGCATATTGACATTATTATTCGTAAATATCACACTTAAATTTGAGGTACTCGATCTGTCAGGGATCGCAACATGGAACTTTTCTAACAACATTGAACGGTTGACCCTTTCTATTCCTCATGTGTTTTAGAAAGGTCAATGTTTTTTCATATATTGGATAGCTTCACTTTTCCGTTCAAATTAAAGATGATCTCTCGCTGATTCAATGCAATTTGAATTTTTGTGTCATTATTTTTTTTGTTTTCAAGCATATATTTGGAATGTAGTTTACAATGCTGGTGACATCATGTCTCTAAGAATAACATCCTGCAGTATCAATTCTTTAGCACTGCCATGAATTGAGTAAGGAGACTTTTTTTTTTGCTTCGAAAATTTAATTACAGGCGCCATTTTGTTTTTGATTTACAGAACTTACTTGATGCGTTGTCAGCGGGTTGGCCCCTTTTATAGTGAGAAAATAGCATTCAACCATAATATTTGTTTTTCATTTGAAAAGATATGTACATTTACTTTTTGGTGATGTCAGATGTTCATATTTTGAAAAAATCCTGGTAATATATTCAGCTCTGTTTGCAGTTTGTGATTGTAGTGTGTAAGTTGTATACGTTCAGCTTTGTGGCTAATTGTCCAAGGTGTGAACGGTTTATTTAGCTGCAACCAGCCCTGGGACATTAGACTGCCAAGTGTTTCCAGTCCTGGGATAGAGGGACTGTGTCTACATGAATGCAATTGGGTCTATGCAATCATACAAGATTAGCTTAAATCTTAATTAAGCTGAAGCCTGTACTCATGCCTGCTCATACATTAACTCTGATGGTTATCTGTACTGCAATAGGTTGCTAGGAAACCGTAGAATTGGCCTTCATTGATTCTCGCCAAAATGAGAGTACCGTTAAAGTCCTATTATAAACCGCGGTTTATATTACAATGTATCAATTTAAAAATTGGGATCAAAAGCTCAAGTTCGGGGTGCGGTTTCTATTACGTACATATTGCAATCACTAAATGGGCGTGGTCATTTTTTGTCCACAACACATGCACAAAACAAACAATACACCATACAATCTCTTGTACCGTTGTTTGTGCCATGCCAATTTTAAATAAAATGCATTCTTTTTATTATATTTTTTCAGAATCGTTTTTATGTTGCAACAAAGCTCAACACGGATTTAAAAGATGAATTATCACATTTATACACAGTTTATGTTGCAGACAAACATGTTACTGGGTTATTTAGTGAGTATTAAGTTACCATATTTCATTCACATGTTGTTTGAAATCTGACCTTTGAAAATATCAATAATCAATATTCCCACAAGATTACAGAATACATGTAATATTTGTATTATCAGTAGCGGCTTTAGTTTATAATGGAAGATAAAACACTGGAATTTGTTTACTGCTATATTATTGTTGTTTTTATTGTGAGTAATTTTTCGTATTTATTACATGTACCAACAAAATGACAAAAAATAACCTTGATACTTTTTCTTTATTCGTTCATTTTGTTCTGTGATATTGATGGGTATAATCCCTTTCTACATATTCTACAGTTTTCATGATTGATGTGCGCCCAATTTACTGTTGCCATATGGGTTTTTAGTGTTTGATATGTTTGTATTCCACTCGCCAATGCCTGCTTGCTTCTCGTTGTATGATGTGTCTTAGAACCATTCTTAGTAACATGTGTTTTTTCCAGCTTTGCTTGAAGAAGCCCAACACAAGCCTTTTACTGTTTCTCCTCCAACTATGGCAAATATTATTAAAGGACTTCACCATCTTAAACCTGGTAAATACACTATTATATCAATGTCTGTGGGGTGCAGTTTATTGAAAGATGGACACAGCTAACTAGTAAAAAAAATTACCATTTCCTGAGGTTGAATTGCTAGAGGAAAATAAAATAAATTATTTTTTTAACCTTTTCATAACCAGTTCCCTCCATTCATCACAAATTCACAAATAGTTTTGTTTATAGTCTGCACTTTCCTTCAGAAGATTTAGACGTAAATAAATAAATAATAATATTTTGAGTAAAAACCGACTCGAATTTTGTCTATTGGCTCCCAAATTAGAGTTCATTTCCAGAAAAAAAAGTGCAGCAAATATGCAAGATTTGATTTACAATAGTGGTTTACAAGTTATGTACGGTTACCTGTAATGATTTACACTCTGCATATGAATACGACCGTATAAGAACAAAGAGAGATGTGTGGATTTACTGAAATAAATTCTGTATAATAATACACTCTGTTTTTTCATCTTGGAAATGAGACAGGCCTTTACAATCATCTGGATTAACTGGTAATAATATTGCTAACTGAATTTTAAACATTTTTTTCTTTTTCTCACAGCTTATGCACAGCTAAAACCCTATTTATTTGCTAAATTTATCCCCAATATTTTACCTCCTGCGCAAGAGGACCTTTTAGAACAGTATGTTGAAGAAACAAGGCAAATGCAACAAGAACTCATTGAACGTCAAGGATATTCAAGGTTTGATTTGTTACTACAAAGGTTTATGCATTTCTTACTGCTGTAATGTCTTGAGAAGTCACAATAGTCATTTTGCTGAGTATCCTAAGGGGTTACACAAGGTACAGTTTAGTTTGGTGAGTGTCCTAAGGGGTCACACTAGTCCATATCACATATTGTTTCTGAAAACAATCTTACCACTATCTTTGCAGAAAAAAATTGTATGCCTGATAACATTTTGAGAATTCCATCTCCACACAGACCCACTTTTTAAACAATAAGTATATTCTTGTCAATAATGTCTAAGTGAATTCCATACTTGCTTTCTTGTTTTTAATTTAAATAATAGATGTTTTGCCCATGATTTTTATTGCTACCTCAACCCTTCACCCACACAACTACCAAACATTACATGCGCAACTCGCTAAAACTATTTTGCTCCTAGAATAAATTTACTCTAAACCAGCATATATACCATATTTCTTTAACAACATTTAGAGTTTTTTGCCACAGACCAGATTAGTATGACAGATCTACTGTAGTCAAAACCAAAATACATTGTATCATTATATTAAATTTGAAATTATTATCTTTTGGAATAAATTTGATTGATTGATTAGGTATGGTTTTGTTTAAAGTTGGAGTTGTATTTTTCTTTATTGTCCTTGCTACATGTAGTCACAAAAGTCAGTTTAGTTTATGTCCTAATTGGTCCTGAGTGTTGTAAGGGACCACTTTAGTCTTTTTTATGAGTGTTCTAAAAAATTTGGTGAGTGCATGCTCCAATACTGATGGAATTATATGTATTAAATAATAATAATAACTGGGGTACTGTATGGTAAATATAAAATACATTGCACAGACAGAAATAAACAATATATAATAAGAAACTATATCTATTATGAAAATAAAACTCCTTTGTTTTTACATGTATTTGATTTGGTATATTGTATTTTTTAAATATATGAGCAATGCAATACTACAATTGCATATTGTGTTATTTTTTATTCTTCAAATAAGGATTTCCTTTCCTCCTTTATATAATTCACAAGCTAAGATGACTACTTTTGCATTGCATTTTTATTAGCTCTGTATTCTAGGCAAACTAGTACCGTACTTCCCCGAGTATAAGCCCAGGGGCCTGAACATTTAAAATCGGGAAAAATAAGGGGTGGGCTTATACTCGAGGACCACCTCGGAAAAAATATTTTTTTGCTGTGTTTAAAACTGTAACCATCTTCCCAACTTCGAAACATTATCTAAAAAAACAAATTTCCGTTCACAGCGCCAGTCTCGGAAGGATATTACGTCTTTTTGAGGGAAAAAAGGAGAAACAAGTCTTCATTGATTTCAATGACACTTTTTACAATGAAGAAACAAACATGTTCATAAAAATACACACATTTTATTACAATACGATTTACATACCGTCTGAATTTACGGTGCAAAAATGGGTAGGGTCTGTAGGAAAACTCCCGATACAAACTCTCGATTTCCGCCATGGTTTCATCATAATTTGACATGAACAACTTCCTTTGACCTCACAGGTCACGTCTTTCGTTAACCAATGAAAATGATGTGTCGTACAGTCGAAGTTTTCTGATTATTGACGAAGTATTTTTTTCAACGCAATGCGGAAGTGAATTACCGCAATGTTAAAATGCAATTTGTTAACACTGATTTCGACAAAAAACGGTGACGTTTTCCCCTAAAAGCTGTTGATTCGCAATTTTCGAAAGGCAAACTAAGGATGAGAGAAGTATTCACCCCTTTCACAGCCGCCAACAAGTCAAGTTGAAGAATAGTTTGCTCGTTCACACCCAATTCACGATAGTCTCAATAGACAAGATTATTCGGGGAAATAAAAACGATGATCAGTGACCAGGTTTCACAACTTGACGATGACATTTTTGCCGTTTGAAAAACTACTACTCAAAAGAAATATGGATTATTTCAGTATTGCAATTTGCAACATCGAGGTTCATTCCGAGTAAATAACATAATAGAAAACGTGCAAACTATGTTCTGTCACGTACATTCGCCCGCCGTGAACCAAACTACCGTACCAATCATGATTTTTATGCAATGAAATACACTTTTTACATGCGTATTTTAATAAATGTTGTCGATGCCCGGTAAAAACACCCTGGGCCTATACTCGGGGATGCCCTTAACTCGTAAATGTCCAAAAACAGAGGGGTGGCCTTATACTCAGGGAGGGGCTTATACTCTGGGAAGTACGGTAAGTTTAAGTAGTGCCTATACTTTGTTTATGTTATATTTCTGTCACAAAAGATTGAAAACTTCTGCACAAAATGTTCAATTGTGTAATGATGAATTTCTTTAAAGTGATTTTGTTTTGTTTGTTTCTAGGGATAACCAAGGAAGGAAAAGGCCTGGTGAAGACAGTATGCAAAGTAGGTAATTGTTATATTGAGTTTGAAAGAAATCTGACATGATATCCTGAATTCAAATTTAAACATCTTATCTGATGCCGTAAGACATTATTTTTGGGTTTTGATATTCTATATTTAGAGATACATCTTCAAGAAGCATACCGGTACATAAACTAAATTATTGCATACTGCAAATGCTTAATTTAATGGGTATTAATTTTGCTATTTTCCCTTATGAGTAAATTCCACTAAATTAAATCTATATGAACGTGTAAAATATCAAAAAAGTCATTGTTTTTTGACCAATTCGTGAAAATTAAAACACAGTGAATATGTTCAAAACATGACAATAGTGAAAGTAAATGGTTTTGCAGTATATAGTTTAGTTGGTTATTAAAATATAACTTATTTTGACCACACTACTGTCATTTATACAGTATGCTAGAAAAGTGGTATTTGTATTCTATGGTACAAACATAGAATATAGTAGAGATGGGATCACAGTGTTGCAGCAATATATTTGTAGATTAACTTCATAAGGTCAGCAACATGCATGTAGATTGCCTTTTTTACTGTCATGTAATGAACCACCTAACTATAAAAACAAAATTATTTGGTTTACTGGGATACAAACACACTGCTGACTTATTTTTTTCTCTTCTTTCAACAGAATCTGTGTCGTCAAGTTACATGCCAAAGAACTCTTCCAGTTGAGAGATTTGGAATTTGGTTGACTCCAAAGTTGTGATGTAAATAGAATCGTGTATAAATTACATTTTATGCATGTGCTTTTAAAACAGTGCCCCTCAAACAAATAAAAGGATGGACACACACATCAGTCTTGAATTGCTTCCCCTACCATCTTCACCACATACTATTCAGTTTTTAAAAAAGCATTCGCAAAGCTTCTCTAAGCAAACAATGACTTAACGCTCACAGAAAAAATGAATCAGGTTCCAGACAATCAAAAACAGTGACAACGCGACTGCTGTGTGAATGATTTTTGTTCGCTTTCTATGACATTGTAATTTGTTGAAACACGTGACTGGTGAAGCCGCAATGACATCATCAAACGCCAAATTCGTAAAAGAACAGGAGTTGTTTGGCATATTCACATTTTAGTCGTGAGTGTTACTCCGTTGCTAGGTACATATTAAAGTGCAGTGCAATTGACTATTATTTAAACTGATATTTACTAGTACCATATTTTCAGTTCTGTTTTCTCGTATATCAGACCAGTAAGTGTAGAGCTGCCTGCCTACACAAGAGACAGGATTTGCATTATGTAATCTATTAGATGTCCAAATACTCACTTATTGTGTATTTAATTTACAGATCATTTATCATGTATAAAAGTTGATATGATCAAAACGAAATATTGATTAATTTTGCTTTGTTATTAACCATATTGCATTGCAGCAATAAAACCAAAATGGCGGAAGATCGTAAATGTGACTTGCTCGCCAATTGTCGTCCTAGAAAACACATGATGTTTCTATTGTGTGTGATTGGTTGAGTGTTTTGACATTTCGTCACTATCTAACTTTCAGAATCATTCACATTGTTCTGGTTATTCAAACTGAAAAAAGTTGCAAAATATTAAAAACTTTTAGTAATATCCAATTACGACAGATTGATTTGAAAGTAGCATCAAGGGAAAAATAATGTA